GGCTGGGGGGGCAGTTAGAAGCATTTACCGCATGCCCCCCCAAGGGAAGTCAGAAAAAAGGAGAACCTGCATATCAGATGCAACAGCTAGAGCCACCTAGGTCCAGTCTGGACAGGACCTTTTTTAAAGGAAGGTGAGAAGTCCCCTTCCTCACCTGCTTTTGGTAGGAGAGAAACAGGTGAAAATCTCAGAACATGCTGGAGAAAGCACTGAAGTCTTCTGAGCCCTCTGGACCACAGTAACCCCATGCTCATCCCTTTTCCTCTACAACCTAGAGATGCCCTTCAACTCCTGCCCCTCCACCCCAACTCCCAGCTTCCGCTGGCTTTTCCCAGTTAGGCCCAGAGGTGATCTTAATCAGGTTCCCTAATCTCATTCTGTTTAGTATACACACTTGCCCAGCTTCCTCTCCCTTCTGGGCAGTAATCCTGACCTTGTCTGGACACCTGGGCTCTCCTTCTGAAAGCCCAGAAACCACCACTATCTCCTCATGGCACTCTCTGCTTGAAATAACCCAAGGCTACCTGCCACATTTAGAACTGCAACCAATCTTTTTCCTCCTCATTTCCTGGCAACATGGCTAACCATCTCCTATCCCCTTCTCTCACTCACTATACTCCAGTGACACCAGCTCTTCTGAGGGCTCACCAAGAGCACTCCTTGCCTGGCCAGCATGGCTCAGCAGCTGAGCACTGACCTATGATCTAGGAGGTCATGGTTCAATTCCTGGTCAGGACACATGCCCGGTTGCGGGCTCGATCCCCAGTAAGGGGCGTGCAAGTGGCAGCCGATCAATGACTCTCATCATTGATTTTTCTCTCTCTCTTCCTCTACCTTCCTCTCTCTGAAATCAATAAAATATATTTAATTTAAAAAAAGAGCACTCCTTGCCCAGGGCCTTCGCACCTGCTGTTCCCTCTGCTAGGAACACCCTTCCCCTATAGCTACATGGCTCTGTCCCTCCCTTTAGATCTCTGCTCAGATATCACCTCCTCAGTGAGCCCTTGCCTGATCACCTTTACCTTAAATAGGGTTGCCAGTCACTCTGTCCCCTTAGCCTGCTTCTTTCTTCTCTAAACACTATAGCACTGACACTATATCATATAAGAACTTAGCATTTACTTGTCATGCTCATGTGATGTCAGCTTCCTCAGGGTAGGGGCTTGGGTTATTCTGCTCACTGCTATGTCCCTAACACTTAATAACTGGCACATAGTAGGCAGTTCATATTTGGTAAATGGACAAATGCCATAAGACAGGAATCCAGCTAGATGTTTTACGTGGATTTTAAGAATTGCTCCTCACAGCCCTCTGATGAGGTGGTATCTTCATTTTACAGATGCAGAAACTGGTAAGTAGTAGAACTAGAATTGAGTTCCAGTCTGACTACATTATTTACCGCCTCCTGGAAGGACTACAGGAGAGCATGACAGCCATGACCTGCCCACAGAGTGACGGAACAAGACCACAAGGGGAATGAGCCATACAGACCACGAATGAGGAAGGGACAAGCAGAGGCTCGATAACTTCCCCAACATGAAACCTACACTGCCCTAGAACCTTCTCATGGTCTCAATGCCTGGTTTTGGGGCAGAGAGACCTGAAAGGGAGGGAGCACAAACCCAGTCATGAGCACAAACTGGCAGCAGAGG